TTAGTTTTGCATAAAAAAATGATAGTTTACAGATTGATAAAAAGGAAAGTTTCTTCAGGTTCTGCTGTACCGCAAACAATGCAGTCTCACTGCACGCTGTGTGCTGTCACAACACGGCAGAAGTTCGATGCACTTCCGGGTTCAATTGAGAAGCAGTGCGTACGAAATAAGTGTCGTGTGCATACACAAGCCACGCCCACTCATGAATATTGTAGACTTAAGACCATTGTAGGTTTAAGGGCACAACAAACGTTGTCTAATTTTATCTTTGACTGGTGGCAGCGATAGTATAGAGAGCTCCGCGAACGGGCTATCGCTGTGAGGAGCTTGCTTTCACCGTTGCCCAAGGGCAGATAATCCCAAACGTCATTTCATTTCAAACCGCCAGAAAATACATATAACATGCTTTTTCCCTTTGTGAAATTTACATTGAAATTTACTACAAATGTACTCCGTATTGCTACGCTACATCACCACCAGGTTAAAATATGAGTACCACTCGAATATGACATAAAATGACGGCTAGGCAAAATTGCATAATATGAACATGAAACATTAACAAAAATTCCTTTAGTGAATACAAAAATAATAACTGTTAATGCTGTAAAAGAGCAATTTATAAAAGAGATTGTCTGCAGCTATGCCAGTCCCTGATATGGCCAGTTTCAAATTCCAGTAGCATGAATGGAAGGGAAGGGAAACTATGACAAGATATGGAGATAAGAGATAGTTCCGTGAAGAAACCTTGATCAAACATAAGTTGCTACCACTTAGTATACATTGATACAAATGTGTAGTTAACCCTGCGAAATACGTGCATACAGGTTTTTAATTACAGGCAACAGGCAACAGGCAGTGCTTGTAGCTTGACCTTAGTAGCTTAGGCTGGCTGTGTCCTCTGACAGCAGACTTCACATGATTTGACCCAGTTCACAAGATAGATAGATAGATAGATAGATAGATAGATAGATAGATAGATAGATATTCTTTATTTCCTCCAGATATTGAAGATACATATCATATATGATATTATGTATAGTTACAGAGCTGTACAGTAGTACAATTTAACAATATTATGAGAAATGATAACTACAAAATGCATGACAATCAAGCATTCTTATAACTGTTTTGTAACAGATACAGCTATTTCCTACAGTATCTTGACACAATAACCATAAGGTCACCACATAGACTTTGAGATAAAGAGCTAACACACTCAGGCATACCACCAAGTAGTACAGACAGGATTGTATCATCCTCCTCACTACATAGTCTTGCAACTGTAGAGACATCTACCACATCACAAATGATTTCAAATAGTTCATTTCTGTCATTCATATTCAATGTACAATACAAAAAGACATGCTTAATAATATCATGAGCTACAATTCTACATCGACATTCCCTAGATTCTATATTTAGGCATCCCAGCCGTACAAGATGAAACAGGTTTGGGAACTGTTTAGGACGTTCAAGTGCAAGCAGCCAGAGTCTGTGTTCTTTATCATTACGTAGCGAGACATACGATTGGTACGATAACCTTTGTCCTTCTAGATGCTGACATGGTACAAGAGTCCAAAGGAAGTCGAATCAACTGCAGGGTAGGAAATGACTCTCTCTTGGCCATCTTGTTTTTGACACAACACTTCTCCCAAAGCATATGAGCTAGCATTTGTATAGAGGTTGAAAGGCAGATCAGGTTTTGGGTATCCTAGTATAGGAGCTGACACCAGAAATTCTTTGGTTACATCAAACGAATTTTGACAACCATCAATCTATTGAAACTCAGCACCTGATTTAGTCAGAGCATACAGAGGTGTTGCAATCTTTGAATAGTTTCTGATGAACTTTCTGTAATATCCAGACATTTCAAGGAAGGTTCGTAAGTCATTCAGTGAAGCTGGACTTGGATATGAAGCTACTGCATTAACTTCCTTGGGATCTGGAGATATTCCGTCTGAACTCACAACATGACCTAGGTACGTTATTTTGGAATGAGCAAAATGACGCTTGCCTGGATGCAGCTTCAAGTTAACAGTTTTGAGTCGCTCAAACACTGTCCTTATGTGTTTCAAATGTTCTTGGAAGTTCCTACTGAAAATTATGACATCATCCAGATATATCAGACATTGCTTCCATGAAAGTCCTCTCAGAACACCTTCCATAACTCTCTGAAAGGTTGCAGGATTGTTCTTTAATCCCATGGGTAGCCGTCGAAATTGGCACAGACCTAGATGACATCTCCATGATGTGTATGGACGAGACTCTGGATCAATAGCTACTTGGTAAAACCCACTTTGTAAGACAAGGGTCGTGAAGTAAACTGGGTCCTCAGTTCCCAGACTCTCAAGCGCATCCTTGGTAGAGGGTGAGCATCCAAAAGAACAAATTCATTCAGTCTGCGGAAATCACACACAAAGAGATAGGATTTATTGTCACGTTTAGAAATTATAGTAACCATTGTGCTGCCCAAGGTCTTGTAGATCTAGGCTTTATCCCTCCCTTTTACATCCGCATAACAGTTGTCTGCTAGGGGACGTGGCCTAATTGGTATAGGTTTGTGGAAACATAAATGCAAAAATAATTAACTGGTTACCCAATCAAATGCAATGGAATTACTTGCAGTTTATTTAGTGTATAGCTCAGCTGACTAAAAGTCAAATGAAGCTTATGTGGTGGCGTGTTTGTCCGGCGTCTGTCATCCGTTGTCCACTGAAGATTCCTTAACTTGTGACACCCCAATTTGTTCTTAGTGGTCATTATTCTTTTGTCACGAAATGTTCTGAGAATTTTAAAGGTTGTTTAAGATAAACACTGTGTCCCTTTATCGGGAATTATTTATTATCAAAAAAAGCTAGTTTGGCACTTACTCACCTGATATTGGTGAGCTTTTGTACCTGGGGTACTCTTTTAAAATTTGAAGTATAAGTGAAGAGAAACCGTTGGAATACTTTATTTCTTTATGTAGCGATCAGCTGTTCAAATTTTGGTAATTTAAAGTAGAATCTACAATGCTCTTTATTTATGATTGTCTGATACAGTGTGCCAAAGAAGCAGTTTATACAGAACTGTAAATACCTCGTGTTCAAGTTAAGCAAGTGTTAGCAGTTAAAATTTATCTCTTTAAACATAAGTAGATATCACATCAAAATATAATAGAAAATAGCGTTGCAGCTGCGAAAGGCGTTATAGCTTGGTTTATTCTTCCCCGGTTTGAAGGCAGGGAAGTAGAAAGGTTAGTTCATTTTTAACTGAAGGAGAGCTCCATTTTGGTTTCTCTGAAAAATTTGGAGCTTTTAAAATGAAATGAAAGTGACTTAATCCGGACATGTTTTAACCAATCGCATGTCACATTCTGTGACTTGTCACGTTTCGTAATATATATAATCCAAGTAATTTGTGAAATTAACCGGTCTATATTTTGTAAGAATAAACTACTGCGCATTGAGCGATTATCTCCTTTAGCTATAGGCGTAGTATAGAGCTTTATCACGCACTGACCTTGCAATGCTGTACATCGTATCTTATTCAAGCTGTATCACTGCGAGTGAGTGATTATCTCCCTTACCCAAAAAGCTCTATTGTGCACTACCTTTGCAATGTATCGTACGTTATTCAAGCAGGAATCGAGAAAGGTTCCAGGGAGGAATACAGGTCAAGCGTGTAACGCGCACTCAATCATTCTCCCTTCACACTGCTATTGCAACCTATTGTTCAACACGATTAAATGCCAGGCTTCTATAAAGTATGACTTGGTTCTATAAACAACACATGTACAACAACGGGTTGATATGAGAAATTCGAATTAGTTTGTCTCCATAATCACATTTATGGTGCTTGCTGTGCATAATCGGGGCGGACAGGAATTCAAACACACTGTCATAGGTTCCTGGCGTGCCCAAGAGACACAACTCTCCATGGGGAATTGCACCGCCTTAGGCGATTGGGCCAATCGTGCCCCCATACACAACTGTAAGAAACTATCATACAACAAAGGTGAGATATGTGTTGCTTCACATTCCATGAAGAAACAGTGGCAATATTCAGTGTCACAAAAGTTGTAAACACAATAAGTGCAATTAAAAAACCCAGGTACATTCAACATACAAAGGGTGTAGATTATAACAATTTTATTTTAAAACAAGTGTATTATAATGATATGGAAACAATATGAGAATTGAGAAAAACTACGGCAATGTTGTACATACAAGTAATTTGGAAAACAGATCTTGGAAGTTGTTTCTGGATAACTGTTGGGAAAATTATTAAGAACTGTTCCTTTTAACAAAGTGTACGAAATTCTTTATCATTGAGGATTATTTCTGATTACTTGTGATTCCCTGTCTTGGTTGTATTTTATACAAGACAGTACATAATGTTACTCATCTTCTGAGACATCACATGTTTCACAGAGACGTTGTTCCAATGGGGGTGGTGTTTTTGTACATCTACCAGTTTCAATTATGAGTTTTAATAAGTTTTGAGAAATGTTACCTTTGGTTTTTACAATATGTAAGATAATTTTCAATATTTATAGATGAATTGACCAAACTGTGGATTCATTACATTTGTGTGTGTTTACTATTTCAAAAGTTTGTTTTGTTTAACCCAGCCAACATTTTGACCAGAAATATTGATATTTGCCGCCAAAAATGTTTAAAAATGACATTTGTTGTGGACTTTTAATTAATTATTGTTATATTATTGGTACCAATAGTGGGTATATATCAACTTCTGCCTGACAGGCCCAGTTATGTATTTTCTTGCCTTGGTTTTCCTTGTGCTGATCATTTAAAGACAGTTTCTTTTATTGTGCTTTCCAAAGATAACGACATTAATAACAACCAATTTGTACTTTACACCAATCCTCTCCTCCCATAGCTTACACTTCCTTCCTCTGCATATGACAATATATGGCGGGGAACAATTGATGAACTGCAGCAATTTCTATTTATACTTGTTGATGCCAGCGGTAACGAATGCGGCTTGGACATGAAGATTACGGAAAGGGACGAGTGGTGACAAATGACCAGTAGCGGGAAAAGCCGGGCGTACTCGGATGTACCCACACACCTATGACGTTTTTCGCGGGAAGTAAGAAAATCGTGTCTGAACCTTAGACGCAGTGACGGTCGTGTTTGCTGTTGCCAAGCTCACTGAGAAGTGTCAGTACACGGTCGTTGTTCCCCGTTGATTTAGCTCAAAGAACCTCAGTGTATGGGACGAGAATATACTGGGTAGAGCCACTGTCAGCCTTTTGTGAGTGTTTGATCCGTTGTTATGAGTTGTATAGGCCCTACATGTCATGTGTCAATATTAACGAGAGAGCTGGTTATAATTTGTACCAAACAAGAATGCCGAGGTTTGTACATGGTCGGTAAATGCTGCTGTTGATACATGTGACGAATGTGTCACTAGATCTACCTGTTTAGAAGTTACAAAGATTCATTTTTGTTGAAATACGTTTGTGTGACATTATATCAGATCTGTCCGTCAAACACTTGAGCAAGGTCACCTGTCAGTCAAAACTGACCCACGAGTCAGTTTGTGCAAATCACATGATCGGGCGCTCTTTGCAGATAGTCAGACCCCATTTGTCAGATACTCCAGTTAAAGACATATCCCAGTTGTTTGACAGTAATGGACCAATCCTTATTTAATAGATCAAATAAATAAATAAAGACATTTGAAATTAAAGGGACAGGACGTTGACCGTTTTGAAGCTTTGTTTGTAAACAATAGCTGATAATCCCAAGCTTACTTTGCTCTGCTCACCTTATTCTGTAAGAATGTTCTGCTCCAGTGACCACAACACATGGGTAGGCTGATAGGCTTATCACAAGACTAGACTTTTCTCTTGTTTGAAAACAAACACACTTATTCTAAAATAACAGACGGCATATGCCAGCCTTACATGTAGTGCGTGCTTTACACATATTGTTTTGCATTTAAGAATTGTTAATTTCATAGGCACATGTAATGTGTGAATTGAAATTATAATTTCATTAATAAAACGAAGTAGATGTGATAGCGGTGTCTTCATCTGCTCATGCTAAAAATAGTCCAAGTTCAAAGGTTACGATCTCGTGAAACGAGGAGGAGACCTAATTACCCATAAGCCCTTCTTCATTATGCCTAAGTGCTAAAAACAACTAAGAAAAGAGCTTCAATCAAACATTTATTTGGGATGTCCCAAATTAAGGTGACAAGAAACCCAGATCTGAGTACACTGTACCGAATACGAATGCGAATGCGAACGCGAACGCGAACTACAAAAACAGTCTCATCTGAGACTGCAACCGGACGGATAATCTTGGTCCAAGCTGGACATCTGGAATGTGGGAAATTCAGCCTGGTCTCCTAATGGCGTCCTCTGTAAAGAGATACAATTCAGTCAAAATACAATCTAGGGAGGGAAATTCAAGGGTTGGGCTATCACATCTACTTCGTTTTATTAATGAAATTATAATTTCAATTCACACATTACATGTGCTTATGAAATTAACAATTTCACCACATAAAACTCCAGAGATGTGATAGCGGTGGTCTAAAGCTCTAGTTTAGTATTTTAGACTGGATTCCACATTCTTTAGTCTCCCTCAAGTAAAACTGCTTGAAAGTAGATGCTCTAGACCAGTTTCCCAGTTCTAAAATTTTGGTGATCGAAGCACCTTTAGTGTAAGCTTTTGATGTAGAAGCCCCCCCCGGACAGCGTGTGCTCTATGCACTGTAACATTGATCCCTGCATCCTTCATCACATTAGTTACCCATCTAGCAACTGTAGCTGCGGATACAGGTTTGTGAGGTTTCACATAACTGAGTTATAACTTATCTCTATCCCCATCCTTTCTCCACAGGAGTGTGCGGTCAAGGTAGTCTCTGATACACTGCACTACACAGAGCAAAGGATTCTTAGGATAAGCTTGTATGGTCAACTTATGAGGTTCTGACCCAGGCTTAGAGACCTTTGTGGGCTTTGTCAAAAGAAAGACAACTTTGTCGCCCTTGTCAGATGTGAACTTTACGTTCATGGAAGGAAGTTCAGCTGAGCGACTTGCTGATGTAAGCATCAACAATATCGCCAGTTTCGCTTTCAGATGCTTATCTGATAATTTACCATTTTCAGGCATATTACCAATATGGTCCAGGACCACGTCTACATTCCAAGTTTGGTGGTATCGAGGACATGGAGGTTTCTGATTGAAAATAGCTGTGATAAGTTTCTTGGTCAAAGGATGTTGACCAACTGGGTAGCCATGTATGTGGGATGAAAGGCAGACAAAGCTGATCTGCTAGTGTTAACGGTTCTGTATTAAGATCCACTTTCATACATGTGGGTTAGATACTCTAGGATATGTTCCAAAGAGGCTGAAAAAGGATTGATTTGCCGTTCCACACACCAGCAAGACCACCTCTTTCAGGAGGAATTATTAGCTCCTTGCGTCCCTGGTCTCCACTGGTGTGACAAAAGCTCGGCAGTTTTTTGCGAAATGCCTCCTGAAGTGACCAGATTCCTGAAACCCTCCAGGCCGCTAATAGCAGTGTCCTGTTTGCTACCAGAGGGTGTGATTGACCTTGTGGTGATTCCAGTGAGTCGGCCCACACTGGTAGAAGTATTGGACACTCCACTGACATCTCCAACAGGACAGGGTACCATGCCTGGCCCTGCCACACAGGAGTTATCGAGGTCAGTTCTGCCCCCTCCCTCCTTACTTTCCACAGACATCTCCCGATCATGGAGAATGGGAGAAAGGCATAACCTCTCGCCCCCTTCCATTCCAACTGAAATGCATCTATGTAAGTTGCCTGGGGATCTGGTCTCTAACTGACATACTTCTCCAGTTGATGTGAGAGGCGGGATACAAAAAGGTCTATCAAGTGAGGGCCAAGTCTCTGATTGCACTGGTTGAACACCTTGTGATTCAACAGCCATTTGCTCGAATCTGCAAAATGGCGACTCTCCCAGTCTGCAATGATGTTCTCCTTGCCCGGTAGATACTGTGCTTCCAGAGTTATCTTTCTCTGGAGACAAAAGTCCCATATTTCTTTGGCTATTGTGACTAGAACATGAGACTTTGTCCCCCCCCTGACGATTCACATAAGAGGCTGCTGTGCGGTTGTCGACCTGGACCAGAAGGGACATGCCTGACTTTTGCAAAAACACAGAAGAGCCAGTAGAACTGCTTTCAGTTCGAGAGCATTGATATGGAATTTGCTCTCCTCCAGACTCCACCAACCTCCAGTCCGGTCTTGATTGCAAACTGCCCCCCATCCCAGATTGGAAGCATCTGTTTGTAATATCAGATCTGGGTGGATTGCTGAAATGGGTTTGCCGTTGAAGGTCGACAGATTGTCTACCCACCAGCAAATTTCTTGCACACACTTCCTGGAAAGTTTGATCCTGTGTTCGTAGCTCTGATGTTCCAATAGTTCCCGTGATGATTGCATTTGTAGGAACCGGCAGTGTAACTGGGCTGGAACAATAGCTCTCATTGATGCTGAAAGCTTTCCCAACAAAGTGGCCACTGTTCGAATCTTTACCACTGGTTGTTTCAGTATCCTGTGACATCTTTGAAGGATGTCCGTCACTTTCTTCTGGGGAACTGTTAGAGTGAGACACTGAGAATCTATCTCGAAACCCAGAAAGTTGAGGTTCTGACATGGAGCAAGAACTGATTTCTCTTTGTTGATAACGAGACCTAGGTTCTTCAAAGGATACAAGAGACTCTCTCGGCAACGAACTAGACTCTCTGGGCTGCGGGCAAAGAGAATCATATCGTCTAGGTATATGATCACCCGAATACCTGCTCTGCGTGCAATGCTCACCACAGGTTTCAGCAACTTGGTGAACGTCCGTGGAGCTGGCGCTAGGCCAAATGGAAGGCAGAGAAACTGAAACAATCGCCTTTTCCATTGAAAGCGGAGGAATTTCCTCTGGTGCCTGGCAATTGGGATGCTGAAGTATGCATCCTTCAGGTCCAGTTTCCACATATAATCGTTTTCCTGAATGACATCCTTCAGGAGTGAAAGGCTTTCCATCTTGAAATGATTGTATGGAATGAAAGCATTCAGTATTTTCACATTGAGTATTGGTCTCTGACCCCCGTCTTTTTTGGGAACTATGAACATGGGACTCAAAAACTGAGATTGAGAATCCTCCAGATTCACACCCGGAAGAATCTCTTCTATCGCTCCTTTCATCATCATGTTCCCAATCTCCTTGTCCAGAACAACCTGGTTCACCTGAGAAAGAGTTAACGGTGGAGGTGGTTTTCTCTGGATAGGCTTTTGAATGAATTCGATTTGAAAGCCCTGAACAGTCTGAAGAATCCATGGGTCTAGAGTAATTTTTGCCCAATTGGTGTAGAAATGTGTTATTCTGCCCCTGAAAATATTTTCCGGGAAAGGAATGTTTTCTAATTTTAGATCTTCTATTTCTGGTTACATACTGTCTGGATGTTCTGGATTTTGAGCATTCAGATTAATGGGACTTGAACTTATGCCCAGCTTCATGGCATCAGTATTTGTTGAAAGAGAGTGATACAAACCTATATGGTCCTGAGGATCTTCTTCTTTTGCCAACACGGTCTTTTCCTCTTCTGCTTGGATTGAAGGATGCCTGAACTCTGAATCCGCCCCCAGACGAACTGGGCTTACCTGAGGGCTCACCAAGAAAGGGCTGCTGTGAGAAAGGCTGGTTTCTAAAGAAATTAATCTTTTTCTTAGGAGCCGAATGACGTCCACCAAGAATATCCCTGGCCTTTTGCTTACGCTTCACCTCGGCGAGTAGCGTGTTGTAAAAGGGGTCTCCGAAGAGCTTCCCTTTAGCATCAGCAAAGGTACCCTCATACTTGTAAAGCAACTTTTTGGCTTTCTTTGGATCCTTAACTGGTTTGGATAAAATTGAAAGCCACCTGTGGAAATTGATCGACAAGTTAGCTTGTCCCACAAGGCAGACTGACTTTTCTACAGTGCCAAGAATTTCATAAATGTCTAAATCAGGTGAAGCCTCCCTGCGCTTGATTTTGTCAAGATTTCCCCATAACTGGGACAAAAGGACCCATGACATTTAACATTCTCTATTGAATAAACTATTGAAATCTGTTTTTTTCTCAAATGACCTGTCCCGCGCTTAGAAAAGATCATCTTAATACCCATCCAGTTGGGGAGCAGTCAAACAATGCTCATCAGGTATGGAGTGATCATCAAGAATGTTCTCATTCAGCACATTATCTTTTTTGAAGGTAGAGAACTGAGTA